GGGTCTTCGTTTTAGTCCATAGGGTCTTCGTTTTAGTCCATAGGGTCTTCGTTTTAGTCCATAGGGTCTTCGTTTTAGTCCAAGGGGTCTTCGTTTTAGTCCATGGGGTCTTCGTTTTAGTCCATAGGGTCTTCGTTTTAGTCCATGGGGTCTTCGTTTTAGTCCATAGGGTCTTCGTTTTAGTCCACGGGGTCTTAGGTCTTAGGTCTTCGTTTTTGGGTCTTCGTTTTAGTAACACCCATTCCAAAGCACTTTGTCGTGGAAATACCATTAAACTACTCGCAGCCCCAATAAATCATTCAAAGATAGAGTAATAATAATAATAAATCACTTAAAGGCAGGACTATAACACCAACATCTCAACTACAAGATCAAAGATACAAATAAAACTAGAAAATTTACCATGGATATGCTCTCCCTGTTCCGCCATCTTGGATTCTCCGAGGTGTCAGCTAAACAATTTGCGGGCGCATAAGGCTAGAGTCACCAGTCCCTCTCTTCTGTCTGCGGAAACTCCAATCGATCTCGTACCCAGAGTTTTCTTGTTTTCTTCTAAAATAGATCAATTTCTTTCTTCTGTTGACGATTACAGCAGCATTTCTTCAAGGAGGGACGTTTGGACAAGGTTTTGCTTTAATATTTTCGAGGCGATTAGATGTAAAAATAGAGATCTGCAGTAGCAGGGTAACATCAAATTGTTCCAAAATGGTGGATGTGTTACTCTGCTCAACTTATGAAGATCAAAAGCGCGACTTTGTGTTTGACTTCAAAGATAGTGGAAAGATTCAAAGACTTACTGTACCAATACCAATTCCTATGAAAGTTACTGCAAAGGAATTTGTCCAAAGATTGATCCATTTTCACAACCTGCCTTGCTACCTTGAATCAGGTGAGGGGTACTGGGGAAGGGTCGGGGTGGGGGGGCGGGGAGTGGGGGTGGGGTTATAGTCGGGGAATGAGAGGGTGTTTCCAGCTGAAAAAGCAGGGGTATATTTCATATCTTTCGACTACAGGGTGAGTAACTGTAAAGAGTCATATGCTCCATTTATAGTTAACTCAGAATTAATAGAGCTAACCATGGACCTTGCCTAAACAGTCCCAGTAGTAGAGACTTTTAGATTCTAAGATGAGAACAAGTACAAGTATGTGATTTTCTTAATTCTAAGAAGTGCTTGTGCATGAACCAGTGTCATTTTGCCGGAAAAATGTGCAGGGCTGTCAACCCCCGACATCTTCAAATATTGAGAAGCGATAGGGAAGGGATGATAGATGACATCATATCGCATGGTATATGATGTTATTCGTCCAAAAAATACTTGTTGACCTGATCGTCAGGAATTTGTGATGTTTCACATTATTGTATACGTTGCAAAGGCATAATATACCATACCAAAGTTCACGAGGACACGTTCGATGTTAACAGTAAAATAGCTCAAACAACGCAAAGTTTATTGTCAGAAAGTCAGTGAATATCCGGGAGATTTCATACTCTAATCTGGAGACCAGGAGATACGGTCCAAAAAACTGGAGTCTCCCGCCGGGAGAGTTGAAAGCACTGAATGTGATAGCCATCATCACTCGTTACCGGGACTTCCAAGAAACACGCCTCAGGAGTTTATACAACTCCGCCCCAGTTGTGCAAAGGCTCATTTGTCTTTGTGATTGGAAACAATGGTTTTCAACTTTGACTCATTATTTTTTACAAGATTATTCTTAGATCTCACCATAGCAATTTGTAATAAGATCACATCCATCTATCATATAGTGTTCCTCAGTTACTTGTAGGTTCATGAAATAAACAAGTATATGATTATCTATATGGCATTGGTTTTTATTGTGGTGTTAACATACAGGGGGTATGTATGTTTCCTAACATGTCTAGTCTAGTAAGAGAATGTATTTGCTAATAACCCCCTTGCGAAAACTGGCCAACTGGAATTCTTTTGTTTCATTGTCTTCTAGAACTGACAAAAACTTTGGATGAGTTTCACAAGTCATCTTATCAAGAACTCCATGACAAAATGGCATGTACAGCTCTTGAACAAATGAAACAGTCGTCGCAGAATGCAAGTGATTATGTGACATCATGGACAAATGTCTTCACTCAGGAGCACGGCAGCTACAGTTCTGTTAGTGATAAGAGTGAGGAGACTGTATTCTCCGAGATGTACAAGTCTTTGATTCATTCATCTGCCCTTGAAACTCTTTTGCAGCTTGAGAACCATTATGCTTTGGCAATGGATGATGCTGTCACAAAAAAGGAGAGTGCAATAAAAGCCATGGAAGAAAAGTATGTTTCATGCTTCCCAAAAACTGAAAACCAAGTCGATTGCAAATCTTGGTTGTATTCCATAAAAAGTACTCTTTAATCAAATCTTATCTTTGTAAGGCAATTTGGTGGGGAAAATTTAATAGCAAAAATTGTCAAATCATTCCCAAAGTTATTGGCAATAAAATTATTTGTCACTTAAAGAAATTACAGGGTTAATTTCATAAGAGAATATTATTTTAATAACAGTTAAATATGTTTGTTTCGTAATGTAGCGAAATCTGGTTACTGTGCATTAACATGGAACATGTAATTTTACTTCTAGAATAATTCATTTCATTACTATAGCTGACACGTGTTTTTGCTACTCTTTCAATTAAGGCAACAACAAGAAATGGAAGACTCCATTAACAACCTTGGCCTTGTCACTACCGACAAAGACGTCAATGATCTGGCAGCCAGACACTGTGAAGATGCACAAGTTAGTCAGATTTTTGTTACGAACTCTGTTGAGATCTCCTTGGTCAGAGTTCTTCCTCGCAGACACCCACCCTCTCTTAATATAAATTTTATATACCTAAGTAAACAGTTTTATTTTTATTTTCCTTCATGCCAACTGAATCAAGAGATATTTTTATCTGTGTCAAGAGCCTAAAGTTAGCGCGAAGATTTTTAATGTACATAATTTCATGGAAGATACTTTTTCATAGATGCTGGAGACGTACTGGTCCAGTGAGCTGTCACAACTTCAGGAGCTACAGAAAAGAGAGTATCGAGAATGGGTGACAAAAGTTCATGAAGACATGGTTCGTGTCACCTCAGGTTTGCCACTTCTCTTTATGGTTAATTTTATTATCATCTGCACTTATTTCATGGTTATAAAGGTGAAAGAAACTCTTAGTTTCTCAAACCAGAGCCTGCCAGAACTCTGCCTTTTTCAAATAGCTAACTTTCCCAGGGATTTGACGGTTATAAGTTTCTGTTTCCCAAAGATGTTATGTGCTCAAGCAGAAAATGATAATGACAATGATGATTGTCATTATCAAAATGTTTAATATAATAAACTTATGATTACTTTTCACAGATCCATCATCAACCTCTGATTCATTTACAATTGGCAAGTGAGTATTTTTTGCATCAAATGTGGAATCAAGTCAACAGACACTCTCACATTGTTCCCTAAGTACCCATGCACACTTGAGCAGGCATTGAGATCAGGCAATTATGTGACAAAAATGATGTTGTCACATAGCAAATGAATGTGATTGCTGAAATTTAATTTTGAAATCATATAATCAATTAAATTAGGTTTCAGAGTGAGAGTTAGCGAACATTATGGGCCCATTTCCTCCTCATCAATCCTCGAAAGTTTCAAATCATCCCTTAGGGAATTTTACTGGAGTCACCAGTTCCAGTCTGGTTTAAGAGGGGTACAAAAAGGTGGTCTATATCTAGTGACAACAGTTGTCTCTCAACTGAGACAGGGAGTGATATAAGCTGTCAGAAATTTGGAACAATCTTTTGAGGTCAAAAGAAAGCTCTGTTTTAACCCACAAAAAATGGTATGGATTAAATTTATACAGGAGTCGCAGTCCATCTGTGCAGAGCATACCAGTGAATGAATTTTCAAGCACTGAACATGAATTTAGGCTTGAGGAAAGTTTTACTGTTCTNAACAATCTTTTGAGGTCAAAAGAAAGCTCTGTTTTAACCCACAAAAAATGGTATGGATTAAATTTATACAGGAGTCGCAGTCCATCTGTGCAGAGCATACCAGTGAATGAATTTTCAAGCACTGAACATGAATTTAGGCTTGAGGAAAGTTTTACTGTTCTTCTTGGTAAGTACAATATAGGCCTCTAAAGTTGAACCTTGGTTATCTGGACTTTTAGATTATCCGGACTTGTTTCCCTGGTACCATTTTTTTCATAAATATTAATGAGATGTGATCTTCAAAAATTGAAACGATTAAATGTTCATTAATCCTTCCCAAACGTGTTTGAAATAGTGTTTTAATCTGTTTCGAACATGAACACTTGAAACAGTAAGTTTTTTTTGTTGTAAATACATTTTACTTAAAGACCGTATATAATGCAAGAAGGAGCTACTTCATAATAAATTTTTGTTATTCCCTATGTTGACATTATTGTCTCAATAATATTCATATTTTCGAATATCTGGACTCTTGATTATGCAGACTATTTAAGAGTGCAATTTTTGCAACCCGTTAGACCACACACCAAAAACATACTATTATATCTAACCACCACATGATATCTGTTTCTATTGCAGGAGCCCAAAAGAAAACAACACACAATCTTCGCTTGATCTGCGGCAATGTTCTTGACCTTTGCAAGCACAAGACAAGGCCTGGAGGGTAAAAACCTCTCAATAACCATGATTCTCTATAGTTGTTGTTTGCAATGAAAACTCAGATTTTAACTTTTATTTATAATAATAGGAAAATAGAAGAAAAATAGAACCAAAAGAAATCCCTAGCTGTTTGATTTCCTGCCTATCTTGTTGTATTTATCTGGCAACTTGAAATCTCAGTGACATCCCTAAGCTTGTTTAAGGCTTTTTATTGATTATTGTTGCTGCCTGCTGTGATTAACTTGTGCCATTTGTTGGTAGTGTCAATCAAGTCAGGTTTTTCTAATTTATGGTATTTTAGCAAACTGTAAACTTACCTTTGTTTAACTAGTAGTTAGCTATAGTATGTCAATTTCAGTTTGTAAACTGCTCAGATGTTATTGTTAACATAGTTGTTTGTTGTTGAAATCAAGGATAAAAGTGAACAGAAAATAAATTAGTGCTTTTTTATTTAGATCAGTGTTGTCACAGCCTCACAGAATACAGACAGCTTTGTCACTCTACTCCGAAACACTGTCAGGATTAGTTCTGTTGGTGGAGGATCGCATTAACACATACTCAGGAATTATGAAACGTAAGATAAATCAACATGGTTCTTACGTTTTACGTATATGTTGCAGTTAATTTTCTATCTCAGGTAATTTTTATATGTGTTATTACAAGCGTATAATAAGCATCCGAAACAATTAAATGTCCAAGGTCCAAAATTCCCATATTTAGACAGTAAATAAAAAAAGACATTATTAACAACGTTTTCTTTTTCTGTGGTGGCAGTAGCATGACTGCCAATTGACGATCATGTATATGAATAAATGGCTTTACCTCAAGATGCTTTCAAACCCTAAAGGCACATTATCCTCACCATAAAGTGAATGCAAGGCTTAATTGTTGCTTTTTCAGATTTTTCTAAGATCTGTCAGCAATCTGGAACAGAATTTCATTTTCCTGATCTTGACAAACAGCTTTGTATCATTCAACAAAATTTTGAAAAGAGAGAGCGCACAAAATCCACATCCAGCAACCAACCGCAACAACAACAACCTGCAGCTGATGTGGCTCTACGACCAATAACTCTCAATACAGGTTAGTTTAGTTCACAATGAGTTGCCTAACGTCAGCCCTAACCTGTGATAAGACCCCATGTTTACTAACTTTCTTACATTCTCTTTGTTAATTGCCTTTACCAAACAAAAATAGAACCTTATGTTAGGCTAACTCAGCCCCAGACCTTGAAGTGCTATAGACCGTGTTGGTCAGGAGCCAGGAGCCCAAAGGCTGCTTATTCAGTCTCATTCTAAAAGCATAATAGCATGGAAGTGTACCCCTTGTTTGTGGAAACCAGATCATGATATCTTGTTTATTTTTTGATTGTTTCATGATTATAAAATGTTCATCATTGTCATATCTAGGAGAAATTTATATCACACGACACTCAAACCTGGCTGAAGTACATGTGGTTTTTCACCTGGTGGTTGATGATAGTGTGAAAGCATCCAACATCAGCACCAGGAATCCTGTGATTGTGGGTTTACGGAATGCATTACACACGGCTGTCAGACACAGTATCACCACTATTACTATTCCACTACTATTATTTCATGAGATGACTGAGGTTAGTTTGCCTGTGCATATATTTTCTCACACCTAATTCACATGTTCACATAGACCATAATGGATCTTGTTGGTTTACCCCCCCAAATTTTGCATAACTATTGTTAATAATTTCTCCTGGGCATTACAACCATTCCAAGAGAAATAGAAGACAATGGTTATACAAAATTTGGAGGGGGTGCATTGTGGTCTACCTGACCATAACGTACGCCACCCAAATTTTTTTACGCGATGCACCAACTATAAGCAACTAAGCCTAAGTTTTATCATTTCATTATGTTAGATTAAAATACTTGGTTGGTCCCGCTAGAAATAGTTCTCTCTTTTGCCATATAATAAGTCCTTTGTTGACTAAGCTCGCTGTTTGTTATATTGCTGAATCCACGAGCAGGCAAGATGAAGTGAATTCCGCATTCTGATTGGCTACCCGAGGGCGCAAGATGGGCCCACCTTGCCTTCTCGGGATTTCCCACTTTTTTCCCCCAAGAAAAGGTGCTGTGTTTTGGGCATTAAATAAATCCTCTATCGACCAAGCTTGTTCAGTCAAGATGGCTGTATATTGGCCTCTTTGAATAACGCATTATGTATATTCATTTTAGGCTACGTTTACACCTAAGGAGACAACTCCAGAACAGTTTTGTACCCGAATCATTTTGCCGTTCACACGCAAATTCGTAAATCCGAAATATAGACCTCCCGGTTTGGTTGCTTGTCTGGAAACTGGAATCTTAAGTGATTATTTTTCATCTGAATGAATGTACATGTAAAACCTTGCCATACTTTGCTCTAGTGTTGTGTTTTTGTGACTTCCTTTTTTACCCAACTGGAACACATTTTCACATGGTTACACAATGTAAGTATTAAAGAAGATAAATTTGTTTTTTTTCTCTCAGGAGATGACTGTGTCCTGGTGTATGAAAAGGGCAGAGCTGATATTGAAATGCGTCAAAGGTAACGACAAGCCACTAGAATGTAAAAGTGAACAGAAAATTTGGAACGTACATCACATAGTAACGATCATTTCGCCAGTTTTGAAGCGAGAAGGAAACTAGGTCAAGTTCACTTTCGCAAAGACTTCTGGAACTGTTGCTGGTGACCGGAAAAAAATTGGCCAATAGGTGACTGGCAGGTCTCAAGTGACGATCCCAAAAGTCTTTGCGAAAGTTAACTCAGTCCAGTTTCCTTTTGGTTACTACAAGTGCCAAATTGTAAGCATCAAGAGAGAATAACATATATTAAAGGGTGGTTTTGATTCGTTTGAATAGGCCGAAAAGGTTGAACTTGATCTGACACAGTGAAGAAAGATAAAGGAAGATGGCGAATTTTAAGCCCAGTAGTGAATGAAAAAGGCGTAATAAACTTCCATGTTAGGTGCATGCCGAAACAAAGAAAAAACTTTTAGTCCTGACAGGATTTGAATCTGTGAGCTCCCAAACACCTGGTGGGAGCTTTATTCGCACCGATGTGCCCGCGATGAAACGCCCTAAATTGCCTTTTGACCAGGAACGTTCCCTTTAAAAGGTTATCGTCGTGGAACTGATTATATTAAAGGTGGCGGTATTAGTTAAAGTCTCGTCAAGCTGCTCTAGTTAAAATAACATTTCTGATATCATTTTACATAGCACTACTGAAATGTTTGAAATCAGGTCCATGCTAGCGCCTTTAATTAAGTTCTCTAGTTCTGAATAGGTGAATGGTTATTCCAACTAGGGGTTGTTGAATGTGTTCTTTGTATATGTTACTACTGATGCAGGTATTATGATGGAGTGTAGCAATTGGAGTGGATCAGAGTCACTTAACTTGCAGTTCATGGTACCTAAGGTTGGTACCCTATAAATTGGCAGAACTTATGTTTGCCTAATAGGGCACTTAATATTAGTCAGAACTGGCTGGCCAGACCTGTCCAGTCATATTGGTCTTTTCGCCCGAAAGTCCATTCACCCGATGGTGTTCGTCAGGACTTGAGTCGATTCGCCCAATGACTTACAACACTCTACAGCATGGTGAACATATTTCTCCGAGATGTAATTTTAGTTAACCTCGGATTCGATATGTGCAGTCACTGTCTTTCCATCCTAATTCCTTTTTCTAAAGAAAAGTAGACAAAAACACTTCGGGGGAATCGACCTGACACCATATGGAGAATTCATTGTAACTCATGACTATCCAACCAAATCAGTCTATTTCTAAACAGTTTGCACGGCATTGACGGTTTTCTATCGAAAACTCTCGTAAAGTGCCCATCACAGTTTTCAAAAACAGTATGGCTGGCCAATTCTGGTAACCGCCCTCAGTGTCAACTTTAGGGTGTTAGTCTTGTTATAATTTTTGGGTCCTGTGCTTTTTTTTAGTTGTGATTATGATTCACCGGAAAAGGTGATTCTAACTTTCGTGTCTCTAGCTAACAGAAACTTTGTAAGAGAAAGCTTTTCAACAATGGGCTCCTTCAAAACTTTGCAATATAAAAGTTTCCTGTGCTATTGTATTTGTTTCAGTCTTGGTTCACTTATCGTTTGTGAGATGATGAAATTGACGAGGGAGGATTACTTTTTTTGTAATTCAGTGATAGCAAAGATGTTTAACAACCAAAAGTCGGGGATTCTTTTTCCTTGGGCAAGACATGACAAGACCGGACAGGACAGGGGCCACAGGGGATACAGGGGACACAGGGGATGCAGGGGACACAGGGAATACAGGGGCCACAGGGGACACAGGTTCCACACTAAAAGGGACACAGGAGACACACGGGTACAGGGGACACAGTGGCCACAGGTTCCACAGGGGACACAGGAAACACAGTGAATGTTAATATCGCTGAGTAGAGCCGTAGAAGCAGCGTCCCAGGGAGCATCCATAATTATTCTAGTAGCGTGCTTCTGAATGCGGAGCATGGTATTAGAATGACCAATGAAGCTGTAACCCCATACGCAGGCAGCGTAATCCAACACAGCCTGCACAAGAACATTGTAGAACATTACCCTTGCACTGGAAGTAAGAAATCGTTTCGAACGCTTGAGAAGACCAAGTCTCTTGCAGATTTTCTTACTGGTCTTTTCCCTTTCACTTTCAGGGTATATCCGAAGAAATGTTTCACTCGTTCAGTCAAGTACTTTCCGGCATCTTTCGTGTATCCAACCCTTTAGACCTTACTTCAGCAGCCAACAGATGACGTCACCTTTCGTGGTGGCAACTGCTGTAAGTCCAAACACATGACTTGGCCACTGGACTACCAACTGGCCAGAGGATTGACTTGTTATGCATTTACATGGTAATCAACTTACTTGCCAGTTGGTATCAAAGAATGCCAACTGTATAACCTAATACGCAACGACAAGACCTTGTGGCCAGGTTAAACAGCTGAATGACAACTGGATGTATCATGTGGTAATGTTATAGGATCGCTACTCTCTTCGTGGTGAGAAGGGCGGGCTCATTTCTCTGAAGAGCGGCTGGTGATCGAGGTGAATGATGCCATGCTCTAAGAACATTTGAGGACAAAAATATACTAGTTAGCCGTCGTACGTAGTCTTCTTTTCCTTAAAATTTTCTGAACACAGGCTAATCAAACATTTTTTTGTTCTGTCTTGTTTGTTTGTTGTTTTTATGTAAGTTGGGTTGTAGGTTGTTTTTTTCCTGGTGACAAACACTCTATAGACAACGTTAAAAATTTATAAAAACATTGCTCACTATGAATGTCGTAATAATCAAGTAGAAATGCAATTCCATTTATAAAATTTAAAGGGTTACCATTCGACAATATATTACGTTTTTTATCGACTTTTATGTTTCACAGTATTTCTGTATGTTGTGTTCACATGTACATTATAGTCGTTGAATAAATACATCTAGGTGATTCTACGTTATTCTATTGAAAATCAGCTCATTTGATGAAGATAGCCTTGTGACAACTTGTTGGCGTTTGTTGAAAAACAAATGGGTTTTAATCCTTTCACTGCCAGGGTGCTTGATAGAGTTGGTAAGGTGACTCTACCTTTTGAGTCTGCGGACGGAAACCTATGATGTGATGTGAACATTCAAATGAAAGCTCTCTGCCTGTACTTATACATGGTTCTATTTGTTTTTCTCGGACTCCCATGAGAAATTTTTTTGGTGTTTTTGCAGATGACTAAGTACATCTTTATCCCTGGAAAAATGTAAAAAAAAAGGCAATATTCTTTAAATTTTTCTGGTACAAGGTTTTTGTCCACTGAAAGTTAAAATTACTCAATTTCCTGGTGGATTCCGTCTTCAGCGTTTGCAATTGTAATTGGTGTAAAAATTTCTTTGGTAAAATTCACGTATCCCAAGGGCTAGACCGAGTGTTTCCTTCTCTGTCCCTGATTCTCTTTTAGCCACATGAGAAGTGATAACCTGAGCATCAGTCATTTATAGGCGGAAAGGGCGGGAAAAGAGCGTTTGGGGGCGCAGTTGGGAAGCGAGGAGGAAAAAGGCTTTCTCCCCCTTCGCCTCCGCCCACCCTTCGTCTTTTTAAATCTGTTCTTTATCACTAAGAAAGGTCTGATCTGCTGATAACAGAAACATTTAAGCACAACAAGTAACGCGATAAAAACATGACGTTTCTGCGACGATATGTCACCATTATCAAATGCAATCTTTTGTGTTCATTTGCATTCGCTAATGGTGACATGTCATCTCCGAAACGTCATGTGTTTAGCTTGAAGGCCTAATCCTCAGGTTAATTAAGCGGGCAAACACAGACTCTTGTTAGCTTGTGTCCTCTTGATAGATGTGTCCGCTCAAACATGTAGAAGAGAGTATGTGAAGAAGAGTTTGGAACTTCGCGGGGCCTGTATCCGTCTAATGCGAGGCCCTCCTAATATGGCTGGTTTAACAGCGTTTTTCCCGCTCGAGTCTCTTACTGCTTGTTGCACGTGACTGATCTTGCATGCCTGCTTAAAACGTTCTGTTTCTATGGGAAACACAGTCGACTGGTTTCTGCTTCTTCGAACAAAGTAGTCGGTTGCGGTTTTGTCGATTTTTTCAAGCGAAGTTGATCTTTATGATACAGGAAGTCGTGTGGTTTAGTACTATTTCTTTTCTTTAATCTTTTGTCTTTATCGTACCTGTAGGCCTTCAATGATTTTGTTTATCAGCCATTAGTATAATTACATTGATGATTATCGAAAATAGAGCGCTATGATTGGCTATAGGAGCTTCGCTTTATCCCGCTACAATCACTGCGCGGTGATTATAACATTGAAGGCTAGCAGTTTTCAAAGTGGAAGCCAGATCTGTTGATGTTTCGGAGTCGGAAATTGATCAGTAATTTTATTTTCTCAAATAATCATCAATGTAATTATACTAAAACAACAATTATCTCTAGTTTCAAAACAGCGGAAAATTTAATGCCGGAGAAACTCGTCTTAAGAAAGCGCTCAATGAACGTTAAAAAACATAGTAGTAAATAACAGTTGGCGTACAGTGCAGACCAAAAATTTGGACCGCTACAATTTTTTGTAGTAAATGAGGATAAGACTGACCAAATATAAGATCGATCTCAGATGGATCTCATTAAAGCGACCTCAGTATAGACGGGACCTAATTAAAAACAAACTTTACACTTTCCTTGGACTTGCATTTCCTTGTTCTTTGACATTTTCTCCGGCAATTTTTGACGGGTTTTAAATCTATTCTCCATGTAAATAATGCAGGACTGACTTCCGCATAATCAATTCCAAACCAGGCGGTTTACGTTGTATAATTTCTTTTGGTAATCAGCAAAATAAAAATGCTTTAATTGTACACGGGGACTTCTCGGCTAAAATTAAATTTGTTTTGTTAATATTTGTTTCATCAACTTAAGGGAGGCATTGTAGATGATTTTTTTTAGGACAAGAGAGGAGATTAGAATTTTCGAAAAAAGGGTTGGAAATTAAAGGGTTTAGACATAAACCAGTTAGTTCTCTAACGGGTAAAGTGACATCTTGTCGTAGCGAACTAGTGTTTGTCTTTTTCTCCAAATTCTAATTTTTTATCACTTATACCTGAATTAAAATGTCTCCTTCATAGATCTTAAACATTCCCTTACCCCATTATTCTTTTCTAGAAACATTAGTTGTGCTAAAGACACAGTTTAAACCAATTAAAAGGCTTTTCTAGATCGAATTAAATCTCGGCGAGGATTGAAAGGAAAAGTACTAAATTTAATACACGAAAACCCTAAGACTGTTGACCGACCCTTTTAATTTCGTCATATGACTGTGAAGTTTTGCATGCCCAACAAGCACTTTCCGTTTCTATGGGGAAAAAAGGTAATTTAAAATTGAAATATTTTGTTTTACGCACCATTTTGACCAAGAAGTTTGACATTCAACATTCAATCTCGGCGATTTTAGTGAAAGGAAGAGTAACTCTTTTGCATCAGAAGATTGAAAGGTATGTTAGCACTAATTTTTCTTTTATCTTCGAAGAAAGTCCCCTAAAAATATTTGGAACATGATGAGAGAATTATTCACGTATCGCAAATATAAATAAATACAGTTCATTTGCTTTGGGTGTTTTTCTGAAATCCTACTAGACACCGAAAAAATATATTTAAGGCGCTTTCCTTCTGAAAACATAAATATCTTTGTTTGGCAAAATAACAAGTCATATGTTTCAAGTTTAGCACTGACATTTTATCTATTCTTTGTCTAGCTGAAAGACGCGTTGCAAGAGAATTTAGAGCTCAACTGATTAATTTAAGTCATCGAACTTTGTTTGCCCAGCATTAAATCGAGTGATGACAAATGGCTTTAATGTTTTAGAGAACTACGATATATAAAATAAAATAAGATAAATAAATGTTAAAGTACGGCGATTGTGACGCATGCTTAAACTCGATTTAAATTAACATGCACTGGAGAATCTTGAGCTGGGTGTGCGACGGAGTCTTTTGGTTTCCAATACGTTTTTTTTGAGATAGTCGTAAGCCGCAGTTGTTATCCATAGACAGTTAGCCTGCAAGTCAACAAACAGTAATACTTGCTGATCGCTATCATTGCGTCTAATTGTTTCTATTTGCGAAGATGGCAAAACAGTCATTACCATACTTACTAGAAATCGAATTTAGCTAGGAAAAGTACATACCGTAAAATTCCGAAGATAAGCCCCGGGGCTTATATTTTTCGAAGGCCCTTTTCGAGGGGCTTATATTCGGAGGGGCTTATGTACGGAGGGAAATTTGCGTTTCAAAATCGATTGGGCTGGCCTTATTCTTCCTTGTATTTGAGGGCAATTTCTAAGTACAAGCCCCCGGGGGGCTTATATTTTGAGGGGCGTTTTAACGGAGGGTTTTTTGCGTTACGAGCTTGGGGGGCTTATATTTGGAGGGGCTTATACATGGAGGGGCTTATTTTCGGAATTTTACGGTATATAGTAAAAGTGTAAACGGCGTGAACAGTCACTATGAGAGGATAAAAGCATCTTAACAACAACATTCAAGAAAAGTGGAACAATTTTGAATTTAAGGCGAATACTTATAAAAATCTATTTAATGTCTTTTCCCAACTTAAACTGTACCATGGTGAGAAAGTTATCTTGCATTGCCTGGGCTCTGTCAGAACGCATAAGGGGTTATGAGTTTCTTGGCTCTGTTTAATGGCATAGAAAACAATTAACATCAGGATGGTTAAATATGGCTGCAGCAAATATACCTATCACCCTTAAATGTTTCAAAGAATAAATCAAGTTCGGTTCACATTATAATTCAAAAGAACACCTCAAACAAGTTAAAGGAAAATCAGTCGCGAAACATTTTTTAGTTAATATTTTAACGTGAAAGGTAATCGCCTCCTTTAGGGACGTGAATGTAGAAAATACTTGTCAGTTATTCGAAAGGTCCAACACTGTTACGTCAATCATCTTTGGAAAGGGATATCATGGACCCTGTAAGAGGCTCAGCATGTATTGTTTTTCATGCTTTCTCTTTTATTAATACGCATGTGCGACCCGAGAGGGGGTACTATTGGGGGGGCTCCGTCCGAAAGGGGTGCCATTTTCAAGCTTCAGGTATATGAAAGGGAAGGAGTTTGTGTGAAAGGGTAAGGAAATCTAGGTTTTTAAAGGGCCCTTAAGTGAAATGTTCTGAACAAGTTCACCTTAGATATAATGAAAAGAAGACTAAGAGAAAGAGGCACCAATAGAAGGTATACGAAAGGGGTACCTTTTTTTGTCAAAAGTGGTATATAAAAGGGTAAGGGGTTGGCCCTGGGGAAAGAGCCTCCCCCTGTAACACTTTGTTAAGTACCTCCTCCTAGGGGGGGAGGTGGCGGTATTGCATATTTTCAAGGCAAATAACGTTGCCATGAATGGCGCGGCAGGACGCAAGTTCTATTTTAAAAAAAACATGTCTTGCATCAGCCGCTTAAAAATATGCGATCACTCGCGTGTGTAAAGAAGTGTTATATTAAACTCCAGTATAATAGCCCTCTAACAAATAATCAAAATTCATAGCTGAGGGACATAAAACAAAAAAAGAGCAATGAAATTCACGGATGATTAATTCATTTCTTTTGTTTTATTCCGCTCACGCTCGAAGCCAAGAATGAATTTAGATAATAGGAAACTGGCCTGTTGCATGTAACAGAAGCTTTCTCTCATTATAACTATTAAAGCATGTATTATCTCGTCTCATTTTAATTGAGCTAGGTTAACATGGAGCATTTCATCAAGACTCTATTGTTG